AATGCACTGAGGCTAAGATGATATTTTTTAAGGAAAATTTAGTACATATTGTTTTAAGGAACACATTGATTGGTTATTTGGCAAGGCAATGAAGTGTTATGTGAGGTTTAATGGTGCATCTAGTCCCACTGTTCTCTGATTTTTCTTGTTCTGGTCCCTTAGATGATTTTCTATGCAAAATGCCTTTTTTTGCAGTCACAATCTATTATGCTCCTTACTTATAATTGTATGATAAAACACTAATCTTAGCCTCAAGTTTTCTTTACTGTTATCATTTGGTCATGATCTTTCTTTTTTTCCCTGTAAAACACAAGGTAATGCAACGTTCATACATATTGTTTTAAGGAACAAATTTATTGGTTATTTGGCAAGACAATGAGGTGTTCTGTGCAAAAAGAATTAATGGCGTATATAGTCCCTCTGTTTTCTGATTTTTCTTATTCTGGTCCCTTTAGATAATTGTTTTGCACATAATGCCTTTTATTGCAGCCATGACTTCTCATGTTCTTTACTTATGATCGTATGGTAAAAAGGGAATCCTAGCCTAACCGTGTTCCTTTTATTGAAATGCGTTGGAAATTTAGAATATGGTCAGGGTTTCTTTACTGTTATTGTTTTCTCATGATCTTCCTCTTTCTTTTTCTATAAAAAAAAAGGTAATGCACTGAGGCTAAGATGATATTTTTTAAGGAAAATTTAGTACATATTGTTTTAAGGAACACATTGATTGGTTATTTGGCAAGGCAATGAAGTGTTATGTGAGGTTTAATGGTGCATCTAGTCCCACTGTTCTCTGATTTTTCTTGTTCTGGTCCCTTAGATGATTTTCTATGCAAAATGCCTTTTTTTGCAGTCACAATCTATTATGCTCCTTACTTATAATTGTATGATAAAACACAAATCTTAGCCCAAGTTTTCTTTATTGTTATCGTTTGGTCATGATCTTTCTTTCTTTCCCTATAAAACACAAGGTAATGCAATGAGGCTACAAAGATATTTTTAATGGAACATTTCATACATGTTATTAAAAGGAACAAATTGATTGATTATTTGGCCTCAATGATGTGTTTTGTGCAAAAAAGGTTAATAGCGTATCTAGTCCTTTTTCTCTCTGATTTGTCTTGTTTTGGTCCCTCTAGATAGTTTTTTTGTACATAATTCCTTTATCGCATCCATTACCTCTTCGATCCCTCCAGTTTTAAGGAACTCCTCAATGTCCTAAAAGGAAAATTCTCTTGGTGGCCTATTTTTGAGACAACTGGCTTTGCCACACACCAAATGGTGTCGTTAGACTTGGTGCTAGATCCTGCATTGATTTCTGAAGTTGGTAGTTGTGGTATACCTTCATGTGAATGAATGTCATGCTATATAATCTGCTTTTATATTATGAATTCTTTTCAGTTATTATCCTTAAGGGAAGTTCTAGTTGATTGGGTGGTGTGAATAAGCTAATAATTTGGAAGATTTGCCTGCATTTCTTGCTTCTGATATCTGTCAGATGACCTTCTTCATTGGAGAATAAACTACAACAAATATACAAGTTTCAAGAGGAAAATAGATGATCACGTGCATGATCTCAAAGTATTTGCAATGGCCAATTACCTCTAGATAATTGAGTTTACATTTTTTGTTTTTTTATAGAAGAGATAATGCAGATAATGCAGGATAACACTACCCAAGAAAGCATATCCAGCACTGATACTCTCAATGCGATTGGAAAATCAGGTTTGAAAATCTTCTCCTCCCAGAACTTTTAAGCTAATAACTTTTAAGCTAATCAATGAATTTGATCATAAATAAAATAACCCAGCACCAAGAATAGAAATGGCATTATCAGTACATTTTTTCAACACCAAGCGGCTTGTATTTTTACCACTAGGACTAAACATTTTTGAGTTATTTTGTAATTAGGAATAAGAAGTTTCTTCTCTGAGATGCTGGCATTTAACTTTCATTTTCTATCAAAACATTGTGGAATATTCTTTGGGATGATAAAACGCCCGCCGTTTTCAAGCTAATGTAGAGTTCTATTAGATATACATCATATGATACCTGGGGATTTGACTAGGTTCTCATTGAGGTCTCTAACTTAACATGAGAGAATTATTAAACACTAGCGTGAATACACTTTCCATGGAGTTGGGATATTTTGAGAGTATAATTGGTAGCACTCTGCTCTTGAAATTTACCATGGTATTCCACTGATCTTTTGGTATGATTATGGAGCTTGACGCCTCTTTATTTTTTGGATTAGTCTTCATTCTTCTCTGTGTTATTATATCCCTTCTGGCATTTCTAGATGCAGTAGTTATTTGTGGTTCAAAGCCAAGGAAACTCCCTTCGTAGATGTCTTGATACATGCTTGTGTTATTTTGGTGATGGTTTTAAAGACAATCAAATTCTCAATGTAGTTTGTTTAGAAGCTTGGATCTATTCATGGAAAGGGGAACTACTGTTTGGAAAAAGTGTCTATGATCTTCCTATTTATGATCTCATCAATTTGAGTTTTTGAGTTTTAAAAATGTATTTCTTAGTCATTTGGAATTGCCGCATGTTATTAATAATAAAAGTTGATGACTCATTATAGAATGGTCCTGAAATATTGCAGCGTGAATATTATTGCTTTTATTTTTGAATAAATATTTAAAAATATTATTGTCATGTCATGATGAAAGAATTTGGTTGTTTCCTCGATTATAGAATGGTCCAGTCCGGGTGATGGTGTAGCTCATTAAAATTGATGCTTATTTATACGTTGGTTTCTTTATGTTACATTTTTTTCATTTGGCAATTCTTTCCTAACTGCTGGTACTTTATTTCAGATGTCCTTGTTCATAGATTTCTTGATCCTGTATTCTATTCAATGCACTGACCGGTGCTCAAGTCCTCCATTGAATTTCTTTGGTCCAACTTGCTTTTTCAAAAAAATTACATTGAATTTCTTTGGTCCAACTTGCTTTCTCAAAAATTTTATTTTTTTGTTTAAAATTATTATTTTTAAATTATTTTGATGTATTAATATCAATAATAATTTTTTTTAAATATATTTTAAATATAAAATACTGAAATTATATTTTCAAAAACAAACTAAATAGAGATTAAGAGTTTGTCGTAAAGAAACCATGAGAAACTCAAGGTGATCGAACATATATGGATTATACTTTGAAAATGCGACAAAGCAAAACTTTTACCGACCTCTTATCTGCGGCTTAAATTACCAAGCTCAGTTATTTTATCTCCTAATCACCTCTCATCTGTGGTTTAAATTACCAAGCTCAATTATTAATTGTATTTTATGTTTTTATTTGTGTTATTTTATTATTTTTAACCTATTATGATATTAAAAAAAAAATCTCTTCACGGTTTTATTGTGATGGTGTCCCACACATGATATATTTTGTGCATTTCAGACGAGGTTGTAAAAAATAAAATAATGGAAAGTAAAAAAAATAAAAAAATGAAAATAATAATTTGGTCCCCGTACTCTTTGAAACCCATTCCACCAGCATCCAGTCACTCGTTGAAACGGACCCTGCAATAACTTCAATTTAAATTGTAAACGTTCAACAGTTCATTCAATCTCATGAACAAATACTCGAACAGCAATTGTACCATTTGAATTTGAATTGAAACTATATTGACGTGATTCTACGTAATACATCGAACTATTTCGAGGAGAGATCTTTTTTCCGAGCCCTGGACACCGAGAAAAAACCTCCTCACGTAAAAACAATCCTTTTCTTTTATTATTATTGGGAAATACCAATAACTACAATGCCACGGTGAATTACAGCATACAATCTTAAGTTTACGTGGAAACAACAAAGAACTTGTCCAGAAAAAAAATTATATATTTTTAATTATTGAAAACAATATATATTTAATACACGATAACGAGAAAATACAAACTAGTAATATCTTTTCTGACTTGTTTGTTAAACTTCTAATTTCCGAATACATGATATTCAAACCTCGAAATTGATTTTCAATCCAGATATATCACCTTCATCACGGACAAAATCAATTGAAATTCAAACAAAATCTCAAAAAGCTTACTTGGATTCGGATCCAAACCAAGCACGAGAAAACACAAATCATCTTTCTCCCCCAGTAATTCAAGACCCAGCACCATTTCAAGCGAGCAAGTATTTTTTCTAAGGGAAAAAACGCATGCCATGTCATCGATCCGCTTCATTACGAACATCGTAATCTTGACCAACCATTCAAAAACAAATGGCCCAAAGTTATCTTCAAAACACTTGTCTCTGATCGACCGCGA